CGGATCATGGGTGGGTTATTTTGCCTTTCCCTAGCCTTATTGATCCTAAATAAAAATGGTTTTGCTCAGACATCCTTTGTGGCTGCTGTAGGAGCCAGCTGTAAAATCTTGCACTAGTTATACTCAGTTAATGGTCATATCATCATGGGGTTTTAACTAAAAGACTTGTTTATATGGTGTCTAGTTCATCGTAAACAAAATTGATGATGACCTGATGCCTAATATGAAACCCACACTGGAGAACTTAAACATTTTGTTCTTAGATTACCATTTAATTGGATGCTCATATTAACATGCATTTTCCACTATTGATTAGAAGTCCAATATAGCCAACATAGCAGCCATCTTGAAAATATGGTTGCTGCTTCTAACTGGATGGTCATATGAAAATAAAATTGTAACTGAAAGACCTTTTATGCTAGTCAGTCCTGAATGAAAATGATATGGATCTGACAGCCATGGCAGACATCTTTAAAATGCTCCTGATCATTTCAGCATGGATTTTTTTCTGTAAGAGTTCTTGTGATGTCTAGCTGGTCAAAAAATAAAAATGGTGCTTCTGCTTGAACAGAAGATCATATTGATGTGAGGTTTTCACCAGAAGGCTTTTATGATGTTCTTAAATGGATGGTGTTGTGCTCAGCGTGATTAAAGTTTACATTGCAATGACTTTTGCATTGTGTGTCTGTGCCCATCTATTTATAAATGAATCCATACCCTATATTAACCTCAGTGTAAAGTTTATCTTTTGTATACATTCACTTTAACATTTGGAAAATAAACTGGAACCTTCCAAGTGCAGTCCTCCTGAAAAGATGAAACATGTATTTTTGTCCATATGCTATATGTAACCGAATGGATGAAACACTAACCCATTACATTCCTTAACTTTTTCATGATGTAAACACATTTGTTGGATCTAGCGTATCCCCTCCTGTCCACACATGGTCTTTGAGCCTTAGGTGTATTTGTTGGATCTAGGGTATCCCCTCCTGTCCACACATGGTCTTTGGGCCTTAGGTGTATTTGTTGGATCTAGGGTATCCCCTCCTGTCCACACATGGTCTTTGGGCCTTAGGTGTATTTGTTAGATCTAGGGTATTGCCTCCTGTCCACACATGGTCTTTGAGCCTTAGGTGTATTTGTTGGATCTTGGGTATCCCCTCCTGTCCACACATGGTCTTTGGGCCTTAGGTGTATTTGTTGGATCTAGGGTATCCCCTCCTGTCCACACATGGTCTTTGGGCCTTAGGTGTATTTGTTGGATCTAGGGTATTGCCTCCTGTCCACACATGGTCTTTGGGCCTTAGGTGTATTTATTGGATCTAGGGTATCCCCTCCTGTCCACACATGGTCTTTGGGCCTTAGGTGTATTTGTTGGATCTAGGGTATCCCCTCCTGTCCACACATGGTCTTTGGGTCTTAGGTGTATTTATTGGATCTAGATGATCTGTGTCAGCATCATGTCATGTTTATGCTACCCCTGCAGATACCAGCCAGATATACCTGCAGGCTTCTCAGTTCAGAAGGCTATTGATAAAGTTAAGAAACAAGATTTATCTTTCTCCATGCCTCCTAACAGCTGCCATTGACTTGCCACTCTGACTGTTTGTTTACTATCTTTTTCACCTATATTGGATCAAACTATTTTTATAAAATAAATGGTGATCCAAGTTGTTCCATAGAAGCATCAGATTCATTTATCCAGCCCGCCCGCTACTTTCATCTTCCCCTATTATGATGGATATGCCATCTAATTTAAAAAAGTCATTTTTGCATAAAGCAGTAATGATTTAGCAAGCATGCAGACTGTTTTTCTTCCAGACCTTTTCAAGTACCCAGAGGGAGACAGACTTCAGCCAGTTCAGAAAATATTTATTCCTGTGATGAAGTTCAAAATAGAAAACATTTCCTGACCTGCCAACCATCAAGTTTTTTCAGGAATGACCTGGATTTACATGACCAAAAAATATTTTTATACATGAAAATGTGTCTTGCACATTCCATGTTCGGTGAGCTTCAGTCAGATTCTGTTTCTCAATCAAATCGAGAAGTTTGATATTCTTCATTTCTGGTATCAACAGCCACCATTGTAAAGTTGGTCTGAAACATGTTGAGCTTGATTTGTGTTGAATTTATTCTAATCGATACATTTTGTAATAAAAAAACATAATTTGGACAATGCACATTAAATAAGAAAAAGTTTAAACATAATGTCCACTATAGAAAGGAATACACTGAGGAATTTTAGTTTATTTGGTCCAGTTTGAAAGACAAAACTTATGATGTCATTCTTCTCAACTGCCTTGTAAAACCTGTCCTAGATTTAATCTTCATTTAGTTAGTAGGTCTGTGGTTTGGTCAGTCAGGTTTTTCATTTAAAGAGACCAATTTGTAGTCAATCTAGACCTTTATTGACACATATTTTCATACTCTATCACCCAGCGTTTGGTTTGCCTAGCACTCCTATTTGGTTCCAATGTGTCATCAATTCATTCTGGTCAACTTTGTCAGCGGTAACTATGGTGTAACTGGACAAAGTTCTTTTACAAGACATGGTAAGTTCAGTTTTGATGCAGAACAGGAGTTTTTTGTCCAGTTTAGTTTGTCTTAGCTTTTTAGTGAGGAGGGCTATTTGAATCTTAACCATGCTAGTATTTTGTCCACCATCACATGGACCTTCTAACCACTCTTTCTCTCATAAATCTGCTTCATGTATCCATGGCATATTATCAGAATCATGGGGCAACTTTGCAAGAGGAGTAGATTTAAGTTTTTACAACTCAGTTTATTCATTGCAGCAGCAGATGTTATTCATTTTCTCGACCTATTCATGTCCCCATTGGAGATTGCGAAACAGGCCCAGTAGTATGTGTACCTATGTACATGTAATTTGAATGTAAATACACATATAGTAGAGGGCTACAAGGGGGATTAGTTCCATGCAGCTAATTGTGTCACCCTCTTTGAATGAAGACATTTATTATTATCATTATTGGCTATTATTTTCTTATCTGTATTTTAGTGCCATGGTTACATGACTATTGGTTGTGCAGTTTCACTTGTGATAGGAGAGCAAAGAATACTTCATATTGGCAATCTAGCAATTCTCTTGAAGGATGCCCTTGGTGGAAATGGCATTTCCTCCTATTGCCTATTGTCCAAATATTGATGAGATCAGTGAATGTAGTCAAAGGAGACATCATGTTATTTATAGTAAATTCTGTTTCTCTAAGAAAACTTGATAATCCCTCCCATGACTCCCCACAAATGCAAGCAGGTTGACCTGTATCATGGTTCAAAATTCATAAACATATGGTTTAATTGTAGCCACCTAGCTATGGTAAGGGTAAGTAATATCCATATCCATGAGTTTCTTCCCCTTTATATGGTCTATACACAACTGATGAAAAATTTTCCTCTTTCAGGTAGTATAGATTGTGGAGACAACAAAGTTTATTTTCTAGATGTTACTGTGATAGGGCAAGTATTCTCATAGAGACATAATTTAATCAAGAATTTGTTGTTCACTTACTGAAACAATAGGTAGCTTTACAAAAAAAGAGGTCAGTTCTTTATAATTGTTTTCACTGCTACAATTGCACATCTTAGTTTAGAAACTGTTGAGAATTTTGACAAAATCTGTTGACTGTTCATTAAACAAATGGAAAAAGGTAAAACATTTGTGGTCGCAATGAGTAAAATATTTTTTCTACTTATAGTGTAGGCATCCATGGTGAAATCATTTAAATTATATTTCAAAGGTGGTCAGGTCTGAATTGCACAGTTGTTAAATTAAACACATACAGAATTGAAAGTTTTGTTTAGAATAATAATGTGTCAGAGATCCACAACAACAGCAAAAAAAAGCATTGGTGATTCATGTTGATATGGGCAAATAAACATTTTTCTTTCACGGAGCCATTTATTTTGATCATTGCATGCCTTTTTGTTGAAAGAAATTAACTTTTGGTTTTGAAATTCTGATAAAATATTTTAATATCATAAATATCATTGAGTATTGTTTTTACTCTGCTAAATGCCATTTTATTATACATAAATGTGAAGACTAAGGTTTAATTGTGTGTACAATTTCAAATGGCTATGTTGGTTTAACTTCAGCCCTTATGTGTTTATTATTATTATTAATATTATTATTATTATTATAATCTGTGGTCTTCAATCATTACAAATGTGATGAATTTGCATATATTCATTCAGCTACTATTAACAAGTGGGTAATTTCTCTTTTTACTTCTCTAAAACACATACTTGGGCTAAGAAAAACACAAGAAAATGAACATGATTTTGTGAAGTTGGATTGCTTGGATCCTTAGCTATGTAGAAATATTAATTTTTCAAATGTTATATACTTCAAAATCCACAAATGATAATCATTGAAAGACCTTCTATGGACAACTACAAAATTTAATGAAATTCTTATGTATCATCCTTTAGTGTATGTCATTTTCTTAGCAGTGATAGTAGACCCATCATCTGTTGATGCATTACTTATGTGAAATTGTTACCAGAACTATTTTCCCAACAGTGATCATTGTACTTGGGTTATTCTTAAGTGTAATTTATTTAGCTTCATATATATAACAGAATGATGTATAACCAACAAGTTATTAAAATCTGCTAATTTGTTTTTCTAAGTTGAAAAAAGTGAAAATTTAAGAGGATCTTGCAGTATTATGAATTAAATCCTAAAAGTTCTATCACAAATCCAAAAGTATAGTGATTCAGATGAATTCAAATATTGATGTGATGATGTACCAGTAGTCTTGAAATGAGCTGATGTGGCAAAAGTTTTGATGTAACGCTATGATATAATTCAAAACAATCTTTGAAGGAATTCACAATATTCCTAAAATATCAATTTAGTTCAAGATGTCAGTCAACATTTTGTTCTTAATTTGTAAATGATTCCTCTCAAATTATTTCGGAAGACAGCAGTAAAAAAATATCAGAAACTAAAATTAATGGAAATAGAGTAATTTAGTGGCCTAGTGGTTAGAGTGTCTGCCTCGGATGTAGGAGGTCGCTGGTTCAAATCCTGGCCGAGTCATACCAAAGACTTTAAAAAATGGTATTAACAGTACCTCACTTGGCGCTCAGCATTAAGAGGTTAATAGTGTTAGGACTGGTCAGCCTGGTGTCAGGATAATATGATTGGGTAGGGCATCATGACACATGTTTGCAACATGATGGCTCAGTGTTAGACATCACTATAAACTGTAACACTGCAGACATGGTAGTGATATGACTAAATATTTGTTAAAGCTACGTTAAAAATCTAAATCAGACTCACACACTCTATGTATCGTAAACACAATAAAATGACCATAAATGTGGGTCAAAGGTTTGCTTCCAGATCATTCAAAATTTTGGTGAACAAGGCAAGACATTGAACTTAAAAATCAGTAAACAAAATGATAAAATTCCTACCTTCAATCACAGAGGAAGATCATGCACACATAATTAATATATATGTACTTACATCCATCCATACATGTATACATATTCATGCATGCATACATACATACATACATACATACATACATACATACATACATACATACATACATACATACATACATATTTGCTTTATTCTTAAGAAAGATTTTCAAGCGGAGCAAAATATATTTTAGCAGGGATAAGGCTCTTTTGTGTTCATGATTTTTTCCCCAGGAATTTTAGCATTCAGAAATTTAAAAAGTCAAATATTACAGACAAATCTAGCCGTTTTGCTAACCTTATTTTTCTTGTCTCGGACCAGTCGTCTCAGTCCCGGTGTCCACGCGCTGAAAACTATTTTAAAAACAGACTTAGTTTCTTCTGCTGTGCATGACGTAATTCTTCGAAAATAAAACGGCAGCAATGACAACAATATTGGTATTATGCTAGAGTTCGTTGCACACGGAATGGTCAATTTAATCGTATTTGACTGTGCTGGAGATAGGATAAAATTATCAATGGTGTGTGAGATGAAGTATGACAGAAAATGCTGACACGTAAATTATAAACCTTTACACTTGATAGTCTTCCAACGCTCTTAACAACTACAAAAAAAAACTTAGAAACAGCCTGGATGGTCTTACGTTTAACATGCTTTATTTTATTGTGAAGTTGAATGGAAAATATACTTACAATATTTAATGACTAATAATGCACTTACTAGCCAGTTGGAATCTTTTATCCATGAACATACTAATCCATAAGACATTTACAAAAGACAAAAGTACATTTTCAAAGAATCCGTGAACTTGAAAGTGTAGCACATGGTCCGTATCTGGAGTCTTTTACACATGGATGTACTTTAACAATCAATATTAATTACAATACATATACATCAAAAACAGTTTCACCTCCTCTAAAGAAAAGGAAAATTATATATGACAGTGATATGGATCTCAAAGTTATCCATGAATAACCCAAACGGGGACACTCGTGCAGTATGTATACACTACAGCAGAGCTGTGGGCCCAGTATCGTCTCATTATGTTCAATATAATTTTCTAATTTGGAACTGATAAAAATGAAACATTTTCTTGTGATAACACCTGAAAACTATTTAACGTTTTATGTTGAGGGATTATTTTTTACTCGCAAATGAAAACTGTGTACTTCTGATGACGTCACACCTCAGTCCTCATTAACGTAATTGTTCTACTTACTGCACCACATGCAAACGTTGGCGTGAGAACTATCTTGCACAAATGAGGAGTTTTTTTCTTTGAAAGATAATGGGTGAGAAAAAGAACCTACTTTGGAGCTTGGACAGAGAGAAGGTAATCCCGGGGTTACATTATGTCTCCCCACTCGGGCAAACCTCATGGCAGACAAATAATGTACCCCTTTGACTGGGATTTTCTTGTCTCGGTCCAAAACCGAAACATAGATTCTATATCATCAACTGTTCAAATAAATATTATGAAATAAGCAATAAAGAAAACTTAAGAATATTTTGATTTGAAAAACTAGCATAATGACTTTGAGTCATAAAATAAGGAATATAATTGAGTGAGAAGCAGCAAGTTTTGTAACATTCAGCAAATATTTTATTTCCCTAGAATACAAAGTAAAAATTTGAAGAAAAAAAGGAACTTACGATATTGCATATTAAATCCCAAATAATCCTAGTATTATGGACACAAGTCCACGATTAAAGTTCTGAATCACTAGTGGAAGTCCAAATTAAATCAAACAGTGGAGGTGTTGATGTGCCTGTTGTGACCCATGTAATGGTGATTAGCCAACAGTCTTGTCGGATCACAATAATATAATCCAGAAATACTTACGTATTTAAAATTTCACTATAACTTTATGTCTGTATTTCCAAGAATGTTATTTTTTTTATCATCACTTCACATTTCGAGTGAATAAAAAATCTGAATAAATATTGCAGCCTAAATGAATTACTGGACACAACAGTACTATACATTATTCTACTCAGATATTCAGGCCTAAATGAATAATTTCTAGCCACGGGGCACAATTAGCATTTTCTAGATAAAAAAATTATTACCTAATGGGAAATAAACTTCTAGAAATTTCATGATGTTTACAGACTGTAACCTTAGTTATATTAGAATATAAAATGTGGTAAACACATGTGACAGACAAATCTTCAAATAAGCATTATGAAATAAGGAAAACTTAAACATATTGTGATTTGCAAAGCTGTTATGATCACCATTGGTTGTAAAATAAGGAATAAAAAGGAGTGAGAAGCAACATGTTTTGTGAAATGCAACAAATATTTTATTTCCCTGGAATACAAAGTTAAATTTTTAAAAAAGGAACTTACAGTATGGCAAATTAAATCCCAAATAATCCCAGAATTATGGACACAAGTCCATGATTAATGTTCTGAATCACTGTAGCGGAAGTCCAAATTATATTCAATGCTTGAAGCGTTGATGTGCATGTGGTGACCCATGTAATGGTGCTGTATCAGCAGTTTTTTGTTAGATCACAATCATAGAATCCGGGAATATTTCCTTATTCGAAAATTTACTATAAATTCAACTCTATATTTCCAAGAATGTTATTTTTATGAGCACTTTGTATTTCCAGTTAATAAAAAATTTGAATAAAATATTCCAGCTTAAATGAATTACTGGACACAACAGTAATATAACTTGCTCTGCTCAGCTCTTAAGGCATGAATGAATAATTTCTAGGAAAGCAATTACATAGTCCTCCACTTGACTCTGGCACAATTAGCATTTTCTAAATAACAAAAGCAATTACATAGTCCTCCACTTGACTCTGGCACAATTAGCATTTTCCAAATAACAAAAGCAATTACATAGTCCTCCACTTGACTCTGGCACAATTAGCATTTTCTAAATAACAAAAGCAATTACATAGTCCTCCACTTGACTCTGGCACAATTAGCATTTTCTTAATAACAAAAGCAATTACATAGTCCTCCACTTGACTCTGGCATAATTAGCATTTTCTAAATAACAAAAGCAATTACATAGTCCTCCACTTGACTCTGGCACAATTAGCATTTTCTTAATAAGAAAAGCAATTACATAGTCCTCCACTTGACTCTGGCACAATTAGCATTTTCTAAATAACAAAAGCAATTGCATATTCCTCCACTTGACTCTGGCACAATTAGCATTTTCTAAATAACAAAAGCAATTACATAGTCCTCCACTTGACTCTGGCACAATTAGCATTTTCTAAATAACAAAAGCAATTACATATTCCTCCACTTGACTCTGGCACAATTAGCATTTTCCAAATAACAAAAGCAATTACATAGTCCTCCACTTGACTCTGGCACAATTAGCATTTTCTAAATAACAAAAGCAACTACATAGTCCTCCACTTGACTCTGGCACAATTAGCATTTTCCAAATAACAAAAGCAATTACAGTCCTCCACTTGACTCTGGCACAATTAGCATTTTCTAAATAACAAAAGCAATTACATAGTCCTCCACTTGACTTTGGCACAATTAGCATTTTCCAAATAACAAAAGCAATTACAGTCCTCCACTTGACTCTGGCACAAGTAGCATTTTCTAAATAACAAAAGCAATTACATAGTCCTCCACTTGACTCTGGAACAATTAGCATTTTCTGAATAACAAAAGTAACTACATAGTCCTCCACTTGACTCTGGCACAATTAGCATTTTCCAAATAACAAAAGCAATTACAGTCTTCCACTTGACTCTGGCACAAGTAGCATTTTCAAAATAACAAAAGCATTACATAGTCCTCCACTTGACTGGCACAATTAGCATTTTCTAAATAACAAAAGCAATTTCATAGTCCTCCACTTGACTCTGGAATAATTAGCATTTTCTAAATAACAAAAGCAATTACATAGTCCTCCACTTGACTCTGGCACAATTAGCATTTTCTTAATAACAAAAGCAATTACATAGTCCTCCACTTGACTCTGGCACAATTAGCATTTTCTAAATAACAAAAGCAATTACATATTCCTCCACTTGACTCTGGCACAATTAGCATTTTCTAAATAACAAAAGCAATTAAATATTCCTCCACTTGACTCTGGCACAATTAGCATTTTCTAAATAACAAAAGCAATTACATAGTCCTCCACTTGACTCTGGCACAATTAGCATTTTCTAAATAACAAAAGCAACTACATAGTCCTCCACTTGACTCTGGCACAATTAGCATTTTCCAAATAACAAAAGCAATTACAGTCCTCCACTTGACTCTGGCACAATTAGCATTTTCTAAATAACAAAAGCAACCACATAGTCCTCCACTTGACTTTGGCACAATTAGCATTTTCCAAATAACAAAAGCAATTACAGTCCTCCACTTGACTCTGGCACAAGTAGCATTTTCTAAATAACAAAAGCAATTACATAGTCCTCCACTTGACTCTGGAACAATTAGCATTTTCTAAATAACAAAAGTAACTACATAGTCCTCCACTTGACTCTGGCACAATTAGCATTTTCCAAATAACAAAAGCAATTACAGTCTTCCACTTGACTCTGGCACAAGTAGCATTTTCTAAATAACAAAATCATTACATAGTCCTCCACTTGACTCTGGCACAATTAG